GACTAAAATGTATTAGCAACCTATTCATTCATTCATTCAACAAATGTTACTAGATGCCTACCATCTGGCAGGCATTCCTGTAGGCTTAGAGGTTTCAGCAGTTAACAACAGGGACCAAAGTCCCTGTCCTCAAAGGGTTTATACTCTAGCATGGGAGGCAGGTAATAAGTAAAATTAATAAACACAATATAGAGAATGTTAGACTGTAATAGGAGTCCTTGGGTGGTACAAATGGTTAACCTGCTTAGCTGCTAACCTAAAGCTTGGTGGCTCAAGTCCACCCAGAGGCACCTCGGAAGAAAGTCCTGGTGATCTACTTCTGAAAAATCAGCCATTGAAAACCTTATGGAGCACAGTTCTACTCTGATACACATGGGGTCGCCATGAGTTGGAATCAGCTTGAGGGCAGCTGGTTACACAGTGTAGAGGCTGAGGAGAAAAAACATAGGCAGCGAAGTGGGATAAGAAGTGTTGGGGGTAAGTCATTTTGAAGAGGGTAGACTGGAAGAACTAACTGAGAAGACGTTTGAGAAGAGACCTGAAGGAAATTAGGGAGGGCACTATAATACAGTTCGCGTAATTATGCCATTTATGTTTATTTAGATAAAGAGAGTCCAGGGAAGAAAAAGTGCAAGGGCTCTGAGGGCAACTGCCAGGAGAGCAGGGAGAGCAGGCGGAACAGAGAGCCTGGAGGCCAGAGACAGGAAGGGGGCAGAGGGGCCCACATCCGACAGAGCCTCCAAGGCCCCAGTGAGGACGGGGCTCACTTTCACTCGAGGAACAACAGGAGCCCTGAGGGGTTCTGAGGCAGGAAGGAGGTGACCTGACTTCTTTACCGATATGGTGTGGAGAGTAGACTGAGGGGGAGCAGTGAGGAAGCAGAGAAACCAGTGATGAAGCCACTTGGATTACCCAGGGTAAGATTACAATGCCTGGACCATCAAGAAGGGGACACAGTGAGAAGGGAAGGGATTCTGGATATACAGTGAAATCAAGGTGAAAAGATTTGCTGATAGATCATATTATGGATTGAATTGTATCCCCTCCAAAATATGTGTCAGAATACTAACTCCTATACCTGTGGATGTAATCTAATCTAATGTAATACACGCTTTCCATAACGCAAACTAATGTAACAGAATCAACA